TTCGAGTATATGTGGATTGGGTGCCCCATCCCAAAAAGGGATTGGTCAGCGGCGAAGACTTTATCCTTTAATTTGACGCCTTAGGATCCTAATGCAATGCCATGCTGTCTTAAGAGAGAGCTAAACCAAAAATTATGCATGAATTCACAAAATTTGAGGCTGGAAGGTGCTAATCATCAAAATATCCGAGGGGAGAGGTGATGTTGCAGGAACCTTCGGGTTCCTCTGAGGTTCTTTAGAGTCTTTTTCGAAAACACTTTTCGGTGCCACTTCATGTTTTGACGCTTAGATTCTAATGGGCTCGGGGCAGCACAATGCTATCATATTTAAGGGGTTTAATGTTCCTTTCGCCTTTCTTTTTTTGTGATGGTGATGTTGGCACAAGTCCAACTGTGCTCTGATATTTTCGGAGATCATAGCTGTCATTGCTGGGTAGTCAATGTCGCGACTTTAGGGTGTGACCTATCGTATTTGATTCCATTACTCATTTTAGCAACAAACGGTGGCTCGGCCTCAAGCGATGTGGAATGCATTGAGATTGACGAAGAAGTGAGCGAACCTCCAGCAAAGAAGTTAAAAGGCAATGACTCTAATGACTCCGATGTCGCTGTCATTAATGTAGGTCTATCATTCATTTCACTTTTCTCGTTTTCTATTAGCTCATCGTTAAGGGAAAGAACGAAGAGAAACCATCACAAAAGGAGGACAAACATAAAGAGAAAGAGGCAGAATTGACCAGCCCTGGAGCTCTGTTGAATAAATTAGAAGAATACGTTTCAGACGTAAGACACTGCCTTTCTTGATCATTGATTTTTTTTTATGATATAATTTAATGAATTAGCCTGTTTGAGGAAAAGCAGGTTAATCATCACTGTTTCAGGCTATCGACAATAAAAAGAACATAGATAGAAAGGTTCTCGACGCATTATTAGGCGCAATTAATGTACAAGTGCAGAAGGAACCGCTTAGTGTACGCAAGCTTATTTTGGACAAGCAGCTCGTACTACCGAACACGATCTCATTTCCTCCAAGTTTGGTTGGTTTTTTCACTATAGAGTCATAGGATTTTCCTCATATCTTCCTTTTACTCTGCTTGAGGACGCTTCTACAGTTCATCATACGTCGTTCGCCCATCATCAAGACCTTACAATTACCGTCTTTGTTTTACCGCTTTATTTGATATTATTTCTTATTCAGACGGTGGACATGCTTATCGAGCATGATCCGGATCACCCCCTTTCGAAAGTAATCACCAGGATGTTCGGAGAGGAGCGACCTAAACTTAATGACACAGAGAAGAAGGAACGACAATCATTAAAGGTTCAATCTAATGGGCAGCTTGTCATTGTTGACTACTGTTATATTTTATTTTTTTAGCTACACAACAATGCTCCACATATGACAAAGTTACTTCTGGACATAGGACAAGATTTGGTTCAGGAGTCAACCTACTGCGACATTGTGCATGCTAGGAATCTGCCAGAGACACCAAAGAATATTGAAACTTATAAACAGGTAGGAGTTTGCCTTTTAGTCCTCATCTTCAATTCTACACGCCGCAGTGCGGATTTGTGCGACGATCTTTTATTTGTCCCTGAATCAGCTCATTATTTTCTAGACATGACCAATTATTACTAGGTTAGCGGGAAAGTACTTTCCGGTTTCTCAAACTCAAGATACTTGCCCATATTCTAAAGAGGTGTGAACGGTAGTGTGAGCAACAATATCCAAGAAGATACTCTTCGTATTATACCACTCACATGTCTCGTATTTCTTCCTGCAATAAGGACGAGTACCGCGTCCCGTACCGTCAACACCGATCCTCGGACGCTCCCTGACTCTTTACCACCTGACGCGAGCATGAGGCTGCCAGCAAATAAAGGAGCTGCCTGGGGACGAAGATCCCCCAGTGATCGGGCAATCTTCCATGAAGCCGCGCTTCGAAGCGGAAGCTTACACTTTTGAAGACGAAGTAATGTTTGAATGTCCATGTTAAGTCAGCTTAAGAGAGATGCGGCTCGCGAAACTACGATACACGGCGCAGGTATCATATCCGAAACGAATCTCCGAACAGAGCAAATTTATCCCCACAGTCTGCCTCCAACATGGCGGTGCAGCCCAGCCCGTGCACAAAAGATTGAGCCGAGTTTGATGCGATAGGGCTGGATTTCTCCCTCCTTGCTCTGGTGAAGCCCAGAATTGCTTCTTCCAACTGTCCAACTCCAACTTATTCCTTGCTGAACCAACCCGTTACATGGACGAGGAAGGCTCACGACTCGAGCAAAGTCAAAATCGAGATGATGTCAACATGTTCATAGAGACGCTGCGGCCTATATTGGGAATCGATGGCATCCATAGGGTGCTCAAGAAACTGGCAAGAACCCCGCTGTAACAATGCTAAATATTTTCGATCTTATGCTCTATAAAAAAATGCTAATTTGAAAAATAGGGCGGAACTTCCCCGGCAGTCTAACACATTCATATGAGCAAAGCTCTCGTAGTTTATGGTAGCAGTGGTTAGACGGCCGTTACCGTTTGCCGATAACAATCTCTTTTAGTGTATGTCATCTGACAACATATCTCATTGACAGGTGTGTTAAAACATGTTCTATGACGTGTCATAACACGTTAGGGACAATTTTCCCAAGTCCATTTACCCACTGATACAGTTCCAGTACTACCGGAGTGTAAATGTGACGAAATGGGGCGTAGCGAATCCGCTTATGCAAACGGATAGGGAAAGATGTGCTTCTGAATGAATAGACAAGGCTTGAAGTCTGCTGGAATTCTACTGACTGATTTTGGCTTAGATGTACTTATTCGTTCAACAGTCTGACTTGTTTCCTGATACATCCAATCTGTCATCACTTATCACTGATCACTGAGTCCACCTTCATCGAAGGAGCATGCTCCACACAGGGTTAAGCGTACCTTGGGCAATCCTTTGGTCATTGTTGATTGATTTTTGATTTTTTCTGGACATGGTGGTCATTTTTGTTCCCTGTGGAGGGAGTCGTATATGGGCTGACAAAATTTCGGATCATTGGCTATTCCCTACCCATGTACGCTGCACCCACTCTACACCCACTCTACCCGTTCCATAACGCGGTCTTTTTCATTTATGACTTTGAGGGAAAATTTCCCTGACGCCATGCTGGCCTTGATTCAGCCTTCGCTGTTATCGTTGAAAATAAAATTCTGATCAATCAAATGGCTTGATTTTCTAGATCTGAGTACCAGGGGATATGAAAGCTTTCGTTAATCTGCGCGATGGCTCGTCTTGAAGTTTGCTCTTAGGATTAGGATGCTTAACGCGATGATACGATTGTTTAAAAAAAGTTCTAGCACTTCTCATCCTTAGCAGTGAGAGGTTTTGTAAACTTCTGTCAACATCCGGTGGGCGGAAAAGTTCTATCACTTTTTTCAATTGAATATTTTTTTCTCAAGAAAAGTAAACGATCAAAGGTACCACCCATTGTTCTTCCTTGCCAGTATTTGGGCACCTTATGAAACGCCATCCTCACCAAAATGTTTAGACCTCTCGCATGACGGGCAGCCAGTAGGAATGCCCTTTTGCTTGATGCTAATTCGTCGACGGTCGATAAGATCCGTGCAAATCGATTAATTCGGAAAACACCAGTAGCACGTCCTCACTTCCAGTTCTGAAGGCTGTATGGCCTCATGCTTTGAGCACCTCTGAAAAGATGTATAAATGAGCAGCCCTACCAGCTCCATTATTTTGTCGCGGCAGCCTTTACCCATCGATCGAGCCCCAAGTGGATAGAAAAACGTTTCACAAGTCGGTGCTGCGGATAACAGCGCACGAAACATCTTACAGTCGTTCATTGCACACAAAACAATTAGTGGAAACAACGTGAGCTGAAAAACTTAAAAGTAGACAGAAGTAATAGCATTGAGTGACATTACTAATATCATCGATTACACCTTTTCAGGTTGGGGAAAGTACTGCAACAAACAAAATATGACGGAACTCCTCTAGCTTAGCACTACTAAAGAATAATCCAAATTTTTATGATATATTTGATCTTTATAGTCCAAGTTTACCATTCTTTAGACATTTAGTCACAGAGTAGTGAAGCAGTCATACATTGATAGTTGTCATTTGTTAAGGCAAGGTCGACCACGAATGACCTGTATAAATGAAACATGCACATAGGTCGTGAATTTCATGGGGGTCGTTTTCGAAGTGATTGTAGTTATTTCTTTTCTAACACCACTTGCTGGGTAGATCACGCTTTAGTGGGTGGTCCAAGGGAGAAATATCGACTCAAGCCCGGATTTTCTATAATGTGGGAAGCCGTTGTGCAGACGTTGAGCCTCATTCTTGAAAAGGATAATACTGAGCCATCTCGGACGCTTATTTGGCGCTCCTACGGCCAGATTTGAATATTTCCCGCTTAATTGTAGACATTGGCTGCTTTTCGAAATTAAGTTTTTAAAACAGCATGCATGTCAATTTGCAAGGACCACTGCATGGTTGCAAGGACCACTGCATGGTCCTTTACTGTAGACCTCTGGCTTTGGTAGACTGGGAGCAGCTACTAAGCTGCGCTTTGTCTTGCCAGTTATAAGTTCAGAATGCACAGATAGGAGGGAGCGTGTTAACACGCTGTGTAAAAAACAGCCATTTTTTGAACCATAGTGACTATTTGGAAATATTTTCATTTAAAGGAATCCTAAAGTCAAATGTCTGCGTTCAGCTGAGACTTTTTCAAAAGTGTGGTTATTTGACCATTTTCAATTTGTTTTGCAGATTCACATGCCACGTTTTGCCGTAGTTAACTTTAGCATTTTTACAGGTTGCCGCTCAACTCAAGCCGGTATGGGAAGCTCTCCGGAAAAGAAATGAACCATACAAAATGAAGATGTTGTCATGTCAAGTTGGTTTTATGTCATCTTTTTATTCAAATTCCAAGGAATTTTCTTAGGTCACAGGCGCAGCCCTTTTTTTGAAACTATCGATCATAGTGCGATTGCTTGTCATGGTATGTTTGTATGCCACTGATCCGAATACTCCCTTTCATGAGGAACGTATTTGAAACCTTCATGACCGCGGTTTTCCATTTTCAACACCATATCTTTGAGCTGCTGTTATTTCCACCTCAAACTTAAAATCCAAACTAAATAGCCTAGGCTTTATTGCCACTGATTTTGAAGCACTGGTGAACTCCAAGTGGGAAAATTCTGTGCATTTACAACTTCGGTACGGCCTTACCTAACTTGGAAATGGCTCTGTGAACGAAAAATGTCAGATCGGATTTGAATATGACTTCAAGTTTTCTCGATGGAGAAACAACGTGGGAAGCCGAAGCATGGTCATATAGCCTTTCCGTTGCCGGTAAAACGCGCGAATGATATGCTCATGTACTGGGGTCCAAATTCTGGCACCATCCGTAAGAATGGTCTTGACTCGTGGCCCGAAAAACGACCAAATGTTCGCCTCTGACGGCTAGACGTGTTGTAGGTGCTCATAAAGATAGTTGCCATCCACAACGACCAGGCATCCAATCGGGAGAAGTGACGTCACAGAACAAGAAAGCGGGCCCCTTCACACGGGACAGACGCTGGAAAAGAAGATATGGCGTCCAGTTTTGAAGTTCTTCGTATTGGAGAGTGTCTGCAGCAGTCTCTGCTCGAACCATTGTACTCTGCGAAAAGCTGTTGGGATTCTTTCTTGCCAAGAGTGTTACAGTATATATTTAATTCTGATTGAATACAAACAAAACAAGCGAAAGCTTCTGCCAAATTGTGACGCTTACCGTAGCAAACGGTTAAGGATATGAACAATTGACGTACACTCTAGTTCGTTGCGGACGGTCGGGCGTGCCAGCCAGTATTAGTGTGCCACCCCGTCGAAGCCGTTTTCACCCTTCTTCTTGAAACGTGCATGCGCATGAAATACATGACAAAAAAGTGGTAGAAAACGAGTAATACGAAGGATGTGATACAGTATTGTCACTTGCCCGCTTCAACAACTGGTGGAGAACGAGTTTGGCACCGCGCCAAACGCAGCCGCACTGACACGCCCAACCGTCCGCAGCGAACTACACTATATTTGCTGATTCCTGTTTTTTAGGTTTGTGGATTCAAAACAGAATCGCGAATTGTGTTGCAGTCACATCGCTCCACTGTACATTTTAAGAATGGCAAGTATCAGTGCGCTATGTGTCCCGAGTTTGACACAAATGAGCAGCGACTGATAAACCATTATCTGTACGTTTATGCTTCAAAATCAGACGGCAATATCGTTTGTCGCGGCTTCTGAATAGTAATTGTACGAGTTTAGAGAATCTCACCTGGTGATTGCTTCGAAAGAAGAAGCCCAAGCAAAGTATCCTTGTCTTATCTGTGATGAAGACTTCCAGTACAAAGGTCTTCGAGATACTCATTTGCGAACGTGCAAGAAGGATTATAGTCGGGTACGAAATATTATGGGACCAAAGGTAAGTTACAGCAATGCTAATCATTTACGCTTTGTAAGGCTCATACCTGTTTTAAGGGCCCCGATGATCAACTGATGATCAATCGATGGCTATGGGAGCGGCCTCCTATTGATCCAACGATTCTTCAACAGCAGCAGGCGGCTCAGCAGCAGCAGGTCTGCGTCATATTAATTGAACATCCGGTTTTAGCTAAGGCATAAGTTCGTCCAGCTACGTCCACATTGTTGTGAGCCTTTTCAAACATGGCGTAGGGGCAAAAAATGACCCTAAACCGGCATGGAGGCCTAATATGCCAGCCTCAGTCCCACGTTTGAGTGTTATAAGTGGCCTCAAACTATCTGGAGCACATTCTGAAAAGGAAGTCTTTATGGCCATCTAACTGATCCTTCATATGTTGTATTCGAAAATATGAAGTGTGTTGGGCACTTCGCGTTCTATCGAACAGCAAACTCGCTCACGGTAACTCTATATTTGCACTACAAAAGTTCTGTCGGTTTGGAGACTTTGTTAGGATTAAATGGTGTAGAAAAAGTACGTTTTGAAGAAAACAGGGTTTCCTGCCCGAAGTCGTTACAGTCGTTGATGCTATAGGCACTTCTCGTGGTCAAGATCCTGCACTACTCATTTTTTAGCAAGCGTTTTCTCAGCTGTTGGCATTCTTCAGTTTTCGAATCTCCATAGACAGTAAATGGGGAGTCAGGAGAAAAGTTGCTGGGGGCCTGTATAACGAGACTGTTAAGTGCGATTCTTTTTTTCAGCGTGTCCGCTGAAATCTAAAATTCAGAGAACATCATTTTGCAGAAGGATATGTCCGCAGCAAATAAAAAACTACCCAAAGTCGCCTTAACCTTGAAATTTCTCGCTGTGATGTAGTGCCGACAGGGAATTTCAAATGAGAAACCAGGGAGGCAGTTGTTTCCCCGAAGACTTTTTTTTGTGATTCTTACAATCTACACTCTCACGTTTCCAGTAGGTTCGACTTATTTTAGCGAACTGCAAACCAAGAATCGATATTTTCAATAAAGTATGTTAAATCGTTCAACGCTGATCAATGCTATCTGGGGTGCGCCATTCATCCGGCTTCTTCTCGTCATCATAGTAGTGCGCATTTGGATCGTAACCTAAGGGGTTTTTCAGTGTACAAGTAGGTGTTTCCACCTTTCCAATCGAATCCGATGTCACCTACACCGAAGTCGGGGAAGCTTAGCTGGCTCGGACTACAAATGGCCCGCTGGTGTGGCGGTACCGCTGCGTAATTTATTGGCAAGAGATCGCAAACTAGGTTCCCCAGAGAAAAGGGAGGGTGGTGAGGCGCCTGAGGGGAGAAAGTGCGCACAGCGGCTACAGCAGAGAGGCGGGCGTACGTGAAAGAACTGTTTGAGGGAATTTTTTTTAGTTGATGGTTGAAAGAGTGCCGTCAGCAAAGTGAGAAGGGATAGTATGTGTTCTATCATAATAACTCAACCATAGTTAAGACGGTAGGGAGTTCTTAGCTCACAGCATACGGTCTGTTTATGAAGAACATGGCAAAATCCTTGTTGAACGTAATGAATATGCTGAAACTATCGAAAGAAATTCCCTCAAAATTTTTGCAAGTCTGTTTCGCCACATAGGTAAGCCAAGGTAGTCAGGGAATTCGCTTGAGTTCTGCGTTCTGCATTACAACTGTTCGAAATATGAAGCTGGGTAGTTTTTGTTGGGTGAAAGTCCGTGTATTATGGTCCATGTCTACAGAAGCGGAATCAGTTGGCACAAGCTCAACAAGCTGTGGCTCAGGCAGCCCTGCGTCGTACAGCTGCTGTCCGTGATGCACAGCAAAATGCACTGCAGCAGCAGCTTCTACAACAACAGCAACGTATGCGACAGGTAAACGTCTAATTTCACTTCAACGATTTTTTTTGAAGTTTTTTTTCTCATAGCGAGGTATTTTGTAGGCCGCTGCGATGATGCAGCAACGGAATATGATTGGCCAGAGCGGCAATAGCCTTATTGCAGGTTTGTCTTGTTAAGGATTTGTAAACCTCTATGCCGTTATAAATGACTCTATCCCCTCCCCCTTCCCCTTCTTCTCATTAAGTATCCCGATCCTTGCCGTGTGCGAGCTGTCCGCAGCGCTCTTTCGTCATGCGCGAAAATAAGGGTGGAAGGCTGTGGTAGCCGAATGCTATTGGGGGCTCCACCAGCAGTTAAGCACGCAGCACGTGTCACGCCACTCTGTAAGCTACATGCCTACACAATTCAACGAAGCTGTTTGTATGCACCATGTTACGTTTGCTTGTTCCCTACACCTGGTAGACAGCTTGCCGTCCGTGATAGTCGCTACGGGATCTCGCTCCTTCAGATGACGAAATTTGCACTTCGAACTGCGGACCCATTCATCTCACAAATGGCAGAGGTCCATCTTGCAAGTCGCGCACAACTTCCCATTAATAGAGGAGAACCTCTCTTTTGGGCCCTACTCGGTTATGTGAACTTATATACACCTCCAATTTTTTTCGTTTTATCTTCCCCTCTTGGGTAACTGGAGCTCTCTGATTACGAGTTTTGCATTCCCATTATTCACAACCAGTTATACTAATTTTTAGGGGTTTTCTTTAAAAGGAAGTTGGGTTTAGATTGAGAAATCTTTTGTTGTGGATCTCATTATTTAGGCAACATTAATTCTTTGAATTACTTGTCTCTGCCTATGAGTATTTTTTTTTCCTCCTCTGTTTGATCTGAATTTTTTCTAGTTATTTAGCCTCAGAGTTCATCCATGTGTTGTGAATACTTGCTTCTTTTTTTCTCTTCATTTCTTCAGCCTTCGCCAGTATGTAAGCCACCTATTACTAAGTTTATATCCTCCCCTCCCCTCTCCCCCGCTTTCCCTACCTCGTTTGGGCCTATGGAGAGGTTTGGCGGGCCTACTAGGTTGGTATTCGGGGCCATCCGCGGGCGCATTGCCCTTTTCTCTCCCTCCCCTCTCACACCCCTCTTCCTGCCCAAGTTTTCCTGTACCTTATTACCTATATTATTTTTTGCATCTCTATTGCAATTTTCTGTCTCCATTCTTGCCGTATTAATTATTACATTGTTAGTCGCAATAGTAAATAAATAAATAAACTTTAGATAAGTAAATAAATAAATTGAGTAGTTTCATAAAGAGAATTATAAATTTTTCTGTTTTAGCCATGCAGCAGCATATACAACGTGCTAATCAACAGCGTGGATCAACTGCAGCGGCAACCACTGTTGGTTCTTTGGCTGCCGCAACTGCCCTATATCAGAAGAACCTCGCTGCAAGTCGTAATGCACTTCTTGCTAACGCATCCGCTTTGAGAAAGGGACCTGCTGTAAGTGCAGCAACCTGTACTCATTAGTATTTTTTTTATTCTATCTCTGTTTCAAAAAGTCATAAGGATCATTCTCATTAACTACTTTAGACCTTGACTAGATCTTGTATGATAATACATGCACCGCAGATCTGAACTAGTTGAAATGCTGCAAGTAAAAGGTTGTTCTGATATTTCTCAGTTTCGAAAGAAATTGGTTCCCAAAATTTATTTCGTCAGCTCTCGTGGTGGATTTTGCCCCTTTCTTCCAATGTGCTGTTTAAAATGTAGTCTCGTCATTGTGAGGAGCTGTGAGGAGACCAGTGATGGGGTGGGGAGGTAGCTCTGGTGTAATGCTAAGCGTAAGGTAAAACCCGTCTTCCCTGGTGGTCGACATCGCGGAACGCAGCATATTTCTTCTTCAAATTGATTTTTTTCTGATGGGGTACTGTCCCTTTACTCGATCCAGATCTTATCTTCAAAGATTCTCTTTCCGTTTAGTCATCTCTCCGCTTCCTACAGTGTGGAGAATGAGTAAATTTGAAAGCTACAACAAATGTTAGATCTTCAAATTACCATTCATCGGTGGTAAAATTTCAGATGAACACGGTCGCTATGCAGAAAGCCCTCGCTATGGCTAATGGCGGTCTTTCAACGGCAGCAGCATCGGGCGCGGCGACATCGACTGGCGCGTCACACGCGTTAGGAAACTCCACAAATGCCGGTAGTGGTCCCGGGATATGTGAAATTTGTGATCAAAATATGGTTGATCGGGAGCGCTACTTCCAGCATTTGCAGGTGAAGATCACACGGTAGAAAACCTTTGTGGGTATTTTCCCCATTATTTTCTTTTTTTTCAGTTAATCCACAAACATCTTCGTGACAAAACGTTGGACGACGTGAAATTAGGAGCTCCATTGGCGTGCAGCAGATGTCGTGAGCGGTTTTGGACATACGAAGGACTCGAACGTCATCTTGTTCGTTACTCTCCTTTTCTATGTGATCCTTCTCTTACAGGTAAATGACCTTCCTGTTTTGACTTTTCATTTTTAGGTAATGGCTCATGGACTGGTCACTGCCGACCTGTTAGCGAAAGCACAGAATAAGCTTGATGGAGGGCGATGTAAACTTTGTGCTAAGGTTCGACTTCAGCAGCAGTTAGTGCAAGCCATTTTTGAGTGTTGTAATTTTTCTCATTTCAGCAGTACGCATTCAACATGCTACAACATCTCGTTGCCGATCACCACATAAAGCTGTGTTCGGCTGAAATCATGTGAGGAATTATATTTGAAATTTGTTGTTTTTTGTGCCGTTTTTCTATGATTTCTTCGACTCAAAATTTGCTTCATTCAGGTATTCCTGCGATGTGTGCTCTTTCAAGTGTAGCAGTTACACTACCCTGGAAAGTCACCTTAATGCAAATCATCCGAAAGGAGCTACTGACAAACATGCAGCAGTTCCTGCTGCGGATTCGGCGTCGGCATCTAACGGCACTACGAAAGTTAGCTTTTAAGCATAATTTTTGTACTGTGAAAATCTTAATCTGGTAAGCTTTTACGGAAATTTTTTGTAAACCGTTACTTATTAGACTGATTTTCGGCATTGGTGTAGTTAGTTGCGGCATTTTGATAGCCCCAACACTCAAAATCGCTGTCCCCAACACTCAAAATCGCTGTGTTTATTTTTTCATTATTGACTGTCCAGAAAAGCGCTCCCGTCTTTGTAGACGAAACTACAGGGTGGGTATGGTTTATCCATCTCCAAGGTTCTTCCTCTAAGCCTGAAGACAACCAGCGAAGCGTAATCCTGCCGTTTTAGCTCATGAGTCGTTTCTTCGCGTCGTCAAACTCTATTACCATCTTTGAAAAAAAAGAAAAACACGAGAGTAAGAAACCACCTCGTGACAAAAAATTGCATTTGAGTTCCCGTGGGCTGAACAACTGGAGAGGCGTCAGAACTCCCACTCAGGGGGAGCAGTGCATTCGTTACAATCTGAGTGAGTGAGGACCAGACTATTCGTACAAAGAAGCACGTATAAGAACGCGAGACTGCCATGAAAACCTTTATTTTCTTGTTTGCAGTCAGTTTTTCACCCTCCAGCACTAAGTGTTTCTCAGCATAGAGAGAGTGGCCTCGAAATAAACCTGCAAAAAGATTTTGGCAAACTAGCGGCTGTCAGATCGTTGTACAAAGCTCCGCACCTAACTACACCAGTACCAGACTTTTATTGAGTTGTTTAGTTTAAGATCAGAGACGGCTCTAACATAGTTAAGAGGGGCACTGGACTGCGCATTTGTGTCCCTGTCCCTAACCAAGGCTCAGGCCTAGACGTAGACGATCGAAGTTGTCGAGGGTAGACTCGCAGACAAGACATGGTCTCCACTGAGCCTAAATCTGAAACTGGGGGAAGAACACGGAGGCACTGTTAAGTGGCGCTATAACTAGATTAGAAACGTGATTTCTTTTCCACATGGCTATCCGCCTCAAGCAGAACAGTCTTGTGACTGTTGAATGGTTTTAGTTTTCGAAATGCTCCCAGGTTTTTGTCAGTATGTATAATTTTCCAGAACAAGAATACCGCGAAGTCTTCGGATGATGATTGCATTACTCTGGAATGAAACTTCTTCCAACCTTCATGGCTACCGCAACCTACCTACCTGGACTAGTGTCGATCCGGTAATTTTGTGCTCCCCGCTGCGGCCATTAGCACATTTGAATTGTACCTTGTTGGTTTCACCTACTGACGCCGAATGGGTGCCTAATAATTCCTTGTAACGTTCGCTTGTCAGTACTTTGATTCTACATACGAGGTGGTTGTGTAAGAGTTTTCAAGCTTCTCAAGGGCTTTTTTTTCGAGTTGCAATCGAACAAAATAAGCGGTGATACGGTGTCGTACATAGTATAATTGTTTTAATGATGATCATTTTTGTTTCTCTTTCATTGTGAATGTGTAACGGTTCCTTTTTTTATGAATTGAAATTTGGCTGTGAATATCTCTTTATCCTTACTTGGAACAATTATTATACAGTTGGTCATTTGTCGCGTCAATGCGTCCCTGTAGGTTTTTGTTTTTCTTTGTTGTTGTATTTCTACTCAGCACTGCGTTACAGTTATGTAGTATGTCTGATTTTTCAATAGTAAAAAAACCATAGATAATAATTCGTGTCCAGAATCATGCGGTCAAGTTTGTTCTTAAGATGGTTGCTCGAATCGTGTGGTCATTCGCTGTAAAATTATTTATTCATAAGTAAATCGTGATGTTTGTAAAGGATTTCTGAATTTTTCTACATCAGCATCAAAGCGATAGAAATCTCGAAAATTCCCGTCAAGTTATTATTTTACTATTCCGAGGCCCATAGCAGTTTGACGCTTTGATGTCATTATCAAGTCAGTTTTATCCAAGCGATTAAATGAGCACAACACCCATTGTTCGCTAAAATATAGCAGTGTGTTACGGGCGCAGGTATTGCTGGACTTTTTTCCTATGGATAGGTGGCTCTTCGCGGCAGTTTGATGATTATTATTGCAGAAGTACATAGCACGGATATTTCCATAGAATATCTTGGATGCTGATCCGAACTTCGAATGGGAAGAACAGTTGTGAACTGCAAAGGTTTGTTAGACTTTATGCTCGTATCCTCCGGGAAAGTATATCCAGGAAAGTGAATCATGTGAGCAAGTTGAGGACAACGGTTGCTGCAGTGCAAGCTACAGGAGCAAGTAAGGTCTCAACTAAGTGCACACTACGCAATAACCCACTAGAGTTTGCTAGTTTTGTTTCTAGAGGTGTCAAGGCTGCGATGGGTGAGGCATGTTACAAGGTGTAGAAAGAAACAGTGGGCGGGGCATGCGACGGAAAATGGGCGGTGTCACTGAGAAACATTGCGATTCGGCTTCAGAGTAGCTCGGGATGAGGAAAAAAGTGGAATAAGGTTAGCAAAGGGTTGGCTGGCCAAGTGAGGGAGACACACCCGAAATGGGCGGGGCGTGCTGGATCTGGGATATGGAGTGATTCCGATGTCATTGAAAAATTCATAATTCGGCTACAAAACAGCCTGGATGGGGAAAATTGGTATAAGGTTAGCAAATGGTTGACAGAGCGAACAGAACACACCCGAAAGAGGCGGGGTGTACTCGAGATGGGCGGGGCGTTCTACAAAATTCAGTAACTTGGTCCCCGAGGAGGGTTTAGATATTGCAAAAAGTCTGTGGAGAAGAGGTTATATGGCGAGAGTCGAGCATAAGGTCACCGGCTGATAGAACGAGACACGCCTACTGTGGACTGAGGAAGCGGCGAGATGGTCGAAGCCAAACTACCGTTGGCGGCCGGAGGCGTGGTGGGCGATGCCAAACAGAGCAAACAAATTGTTGAAAAAAATCATGTAAAAGCGTGAAGAGCACATCCAGACACGCGAAGGTGGAGCAAAGCGTTTGCAGGGGTTCCGCAAGAGAGATGGACACACTAATCGCAAGCGAAGCATGTGCCGAAATGGGCTGGGCGAATGTTAAAATTCACGAATCGGTCGCAGAGCTGCGTAGGCACCGGGGACAGGTGGATTGGGGTCCAAAAGGGTGCCGCACTCGGTGCTTGCTACGAAATGTCATAATTCGGACCTGTGTGAATTGGAGATCAGAGGAATTGTTGGGGAAGAGAAACGTATGGCGAGAGTCGAGTGTGTCTGTGATGTGCTGGGACTTGCCCACAGTGGGCGGGGCGTGCCCTCAGGCACCTATTTCACTGAGTTCAGCGCATCGACAGTCACTCTTAACCACTCGTCGTCGATGATACATTTGATAGCAGTAGGTTTGCCGCGCTTACCTACTTTCACATTTTTGAATACTCAACTAATATCCGGCTTTTCCTTTATTTGTACACGTGGGCAACGCTGCTGGATCAGTAACATCGAAGCACTTTTACCGTGTATGGAATGGCCTTGATCAAGTGCACAGATGAGAGAGAAGCCGGGTACTAAAGGCACGGTTGGCGATAAGGAGCGTAGGTAACCTTGTTGAAATATGGAAGTGAAGTTAACATGTGATTTGTGAACAGAAAATGCCAAAGGGATCGTTGGCAACACCCTCAGTATGCTGCTTGTGCGCTAGCGCATTGCATGGAAAATGGACCTTGAGGCGGAGTCTAGAGGCGGAGTCGCTGGAAAAAGGGAGGTAAACTGGAAGTACTTTGCGTCATAACTCCTTTCTTTCCGCGCGGAACCGACACAAGCTTGTCCACTCGTGCGACACTACCCTTCTCAACATTTGTTTTGCATTTTCATAGGTCATCACGGACATATGAAAGCAGGTAGAAACGACGAAGCCATGTCCGCCCTGAAAAGCCGGGCCGTATTCCAGAAGAAAGAGACTCGATGGCATCACCCGGCGAGCCGAGGTCAACTGTAAAAGTCCAGCTCGATGGGGAGGGGTAGTAGGTCGCAAGGGATGATCCTGCCACTACCACTTTCTTGACAGAAAGTTAAGTAGAGCTGGTAGCGTGTGGAGCGTTGATCTCGAGCCGATGCCCAGTGTCAGCACCTCATGTCGAGGAGAGTTGCTCCATCCGCATGACCCCCCCCCCGCGGCAATGTCTCTCTACGACATTCAATGAAACAGTGCGCTATCAAAAGCGTTAATTGTTTGCACTTGGTACAAGTACTTCGCGTGTTAATGTTGAACCCGTCGCGTCGCCGTGCCACTGGCGTTTCACGTTTTTCTTCTTTCAGAAGGTATGACTTCAGGCAAAGGCGACTTTCTGCAAAACAATGAAGGGACTCGTCATTGTTGGAAAGGTTCCAACCAAAAGGTACTTGTCTGGTTGGGTAGAAGGAATCATGACTCAATTATAAAATTAACAGGGAAAAACTTTTGAGCCTGCGACCTTCAAGCATTTCAATGGCTCTAATTTCTCTCACACATGACAAAAAGCAGAACGGCCAGCGGCGCTCAAAATAGAGGATTTCTTTTTTTTCCGGTAACCTTTGTTTTCAATAGCTTAGTGTAAGTACATTGTTTCAAAAATCTGCTCGTTGAGGATTTTTGCTCATCAACGAGCAAAACATTTTTTCTAAGGTGTCACGCTTCCAAAGGCCATAAATTCGTTTAGGCATAACATTTTGAGAAATGGTGAACAGTTTTTGAAACGGAAACAGGATTAGTTTACTGAGAAGTTACTTCATTTCATAGAAGTGCAACCTTAGAAGATGTATTCCTACAAACTTCACGAGGAAATAGCTTCAGCTCCGAGAAATGAGTTGGTCTACTTTCGGCATTGCCGTGACCATTGCCCACAATTCCTTCTAAACTCGCCGAAATATTTTCGGAACACATCCTTTACTTGTGCTTAACTGAATTCAAAGTAGTAAGAAGACCAACTCCGCTATGGAACGAGCCGCGCCTTCGACCTCAGTTCGGATAAGCAGGGCACTTGAGGACGTTCTGCGCTACGGAACATCTTCCTGAGCGATTTTATATTAGGTTGGGAAGAAAGTTCTGTCAGTGGTTTTGTCGGAAGCTTTCAGTTTTCGAGATACTTGTTGTTACAAACATCGACGTAATCATGTGTGCTTGTAGACATTCTAAAAGGAGCCCTTGCCTGGCATAGAGTAGTGTGAGGTGCCTGCTCTTCATGGCTGGGGCTTTAATTGCGATTTCATGTCAGTTTCAGCCAGAGCATCTGGGTCAAGCATATACTTATCACTTCCAACCTCGCAGCAGCTGGAGCCACGGGACGCTGGCATACGGCAACATCACTGTGGCGCATTGGCCGGAGGACACCAACCATCATCACGAACGGTCCATCTTCTGTTCGCATCACTTCACGAAAGGTGACACGACCTCTCGAAGACAAACTCGTTCGGGGACGGGCCCACGAAGTGAAAGACTCCACCGTTCTCGTAACTGTCAAAGAGGATCCGGGAGCTACCACCGCAGTATTGCGACAAGACTCAGATGTACACAACTGACGAGCGTCAACCGCTTGTAAGCCCTTGACTACAGAAAAGTACTGGCTCGATGGATCCTTGAACAGTCTCCCCTCCTCCGATCTCGTCAATAGAAGTTCCCAGGAGATTGCTCAGTGGAGATGGGAGATGAGTCCTCTGCGATTTCAATCCACACAATACCGTGTGTTGTCTCTCTAATCTCAAGAGCAAGATCCATGCCTATGCAGTCCAACAGGCACTGTATTCCGGGCTCTCCTGTGCTGATCCTGGAACGCGAGGGTAATGCTGCACAATGAACTACCCTATGGGAACACACAGTTACCGAACCATTTATTTCGCTTCAGCTCCAGAAACCCATGGAAACTGTTGAAAGGTGACCGAGACTAGCTTCGAGGCATCTCGTTCGTAGTACGCGAGACTCCATATCTGCTATGGAGATCTTGAGGAGCGAGGCTGGGAGACCAGTCTCGCTCATAATGTTATTCTGACGTAGTCCCCTGCGATTGCTGCCTGCTCCGCCTCCTTAAGGCTTTCTTAGCTGAGCAAACTTTTAGCAACTTCGATGACATCAGTCGAGAGGCTGCCGACTTACTCTACTCGCAGCGTCCTCAATTCTGGGAGAGGGGGAATGGTTTTCTGCCCAGATGGAGCACTGTAGCTGCTAAAATGGTTATAAGATA